TACCTTTAAGTTAATATATAAACCACATTCAAGTTGGGTCTGCCAAAAATGCCTCAACCGACTCAACCAACCTCAAACAGGCCTAATATGCAGTGTACATGGGTGATTAATGCTCTGGATACATTGTCTATGCGATAATAAATATTTGAGTTTGCATTTTACAGTAGTTGACCTATGGCGTAGTAGCTGGAAAGAGCAGCTATAGTAGGAATAATTAGTTAGCCCGCTTGCTTTTTGAGTCGAGACCAGGATACAAGTTAGTTAACACACACACCAGTTAGCTCCGTTCTAGATTGTATATAGTTCCCATCTGACGAGACTATTGCATATCTCTGTTGTCAGTAGATCCGTAACTCGACTGTAACTAGATCATTGATCTCTCATAGTTTCAAAAGTAGTCAAGCACAATACAACAATCCGTACAATTGTAATCGATCCTGCTTTGTGTCTTCTGTCTCTCTCGAGTGGTATATAAAAGTTAACTAGCAGATAAGATAGACATAGACATGAATGTAGTTTGGCCTAAGACCTATCTCTATCTATCTATTGCCGGCCTGTCCAGCTGGGACCAAGCAAGTACAAATTTCTCTCAATAGATCCTTACCTAATAGAATATGCCGGGATCCATATATAAAGAAAGACAAAGACAAATTGGAAAGGGTACAGAATCAAGCTACAAGATTCTGTGTGAACAACTATGAAAGAGATGATAGTGTCACGGAAATGAAATCTACAGTGGGTCTCACAGGAAGACAGAAGAAAAATGTCCAGACTATGCATGATGTATAAAATGACTAATAAACTGGTGGACATCAGAACAACTAAGTACCTAATACCAGCCCAGAAGAGAACAAGAAATAGCTTATAATGCCTTCAAGTATGAGAGTTATCAACCGAGGATTGATGTGTTCAAGAATTCATTCTTTCCTAGAAGTATCACAGAGTGGAACTCGCTGTCACCTGTCGTTACAGTAGGGGTATTGTCATTTATAGCCAGCTGCCGCCGCGCTGCATGGCTGCGAAGCTGGTGTGTTATGCCAAAAGGCGGTTATACCGGCTATACAGATATAGATACAGAGAGTAATATAGGTTATACAAGATTAAGAAAAAAAACTGATCTGTAGATAAATGGTAGCAGATGATACTAGACAAGGGATACATATGATTGTTAACAAGGCTGATACACAAAAACAGCTACGGTAAAAATAAAAATACTCATCACGGGCATGCCTGCAGATGACGTATCAAATCACATGCTTATAAAACAAAGGGCACCTTGAGTTTTATTTGAGGAGTACACTAATGTCAATCTAACAATTTGCGGCACTGTCGTGACTCTTTGGTCATAGTCACAGGAAGCGGATTTTCTTGTTTTTTTTTCTAGGAACAGGCCAAAATCAATGCGCGCGCGGACGTCATCCATAAAATTTACTTGGTGTGGCCTAATTGTGGTAAACAAGGGAAAGAAAAGGATAAATAAAACAAAAAGGGGGAACATTAATTAAACAACTGATTTTATGTGTACAAAGAGACAAATGCATTAGTGTGTTAAGTTATATTTACATATCTACAAGACATGATGGGGTGGCTCAATGCAGCAGGGTCCTCGCCAGTTCAGATTTGAACTGAGCAAAGGACCCCGCCTCCACCGCACCAGGCTCAAGTTTGTTCCGTTCCCTGATTGTGCGGGGGAAGAACGAGAGACTGTAGAAGTTGTTTTTGCTCGCGATGGCCTGCAGCAGGAGCATTCAGCCACCAACCATGATGTAAACCATTCATTCCATTTTAACATTTGGTGTGGGGCTGAAGAAGTTTTGTTTGTCACTTTTGGCCAATTTTATTGATGACATTGATCAATTGATTTTCGCGCATTGATTTTCACCTGTTCTCAAAAAAAAAAGAATTATGTCCTGGGTAGTTAGCAACAATACGGAGCCTGTGGTAACTCTGGAAGATGGCGCCCAGGCTGCCGAAGCCCCATGACTCAAGAACTCAGTACATACGTAGTGCCGATTCATAAATTCCGCAAAAAGCCAGCATGTCGTGTACGTCGCTATGTACTGCCATAAATTTTGCTTTAGTTGCATTTTTATTTCAGCACATAAAGCACTGCTTTAGGTTTTCTTTTTTTCCTCGCACGGTAAGCGAGTGGAACCAGCTGCCGGGCCCAGTGGTGAGGGCACTGACAGTAGAGGCTTTTGTCTTGTCTTGTCTTGTCTTGTACGGGTTCTGCACAACACCCCTAGATTGGGGTAAAGCGTGCAGGGGAGAATACCCTTTTAAGGCCAGGGTAGAAATCGCCCTGCCATATCTCAGTGATACCCCGTTTAGGGGTGGTTAGAGGGTATTGAAGAACACTGCAAACTTGAGGAATACACCTGAGTGTCCACTGTCTACAGACAAAAATTAAAACTATTCTTCCTTAAGGCCATTTTGATTTGATTATATGGATGACATCCGCGCGCGCATGAATTTTCGGCCGTTTCCAAAAAAAAAAAAAAGGTTTCAACCATACTGTAAATCGTACAAAACAGTTGCAAAATGAGCAAAAATATACCATAAGTTACAAAAAAATTAATAAAAACTATACCAATGTCGTAGAATGCCAAAATCAAACGAAAAAAGACGAAATTGTAAAGAAATAAACTTGAAGACTAGATTATTCGCCAAACCATATTCTGTGCCATTTGCTCAACCCTCATGACCACGTAGATTTCATAATGAAAAGAACTTTTTTTTTTTTGCAAAATTTTTTTTTATTCGCACGCGCGCATCAGTTTTGGGGCTCCCGGAGGATGTCATCCATATAATCAAATCAACATGGCCTAAGTTCCTTTCATATGACACAGAATTTGGTTTATATATTGATTTGTTTATTGAATTGTGTACTTGTGTTAAAAGCTACACAAAAGAAATACATAAGCCACAAAAATGATAGAGTTGCATACAATTAAACAATAAAAACACAGTACTAACACTAGCTATACATACTACAAATGATACAATAAGAACCAAGATTGCATACATCATCCTCAAATAATCAAATCAGTGCAACCACAGTGACTGCTTCATACAATGATATTCCAATGACAGATACAATTTGGCAAATTGAATCAAGTATGAAATCCAGTAAAATACCAACGAATATGAAAACCTCCGATCCAAAAGCAAGGATACGCCTGTCCCAACAAAACCGAAATTAGACTATTTTCACTTTTGCACAGGTTTAATTTTGGGTGCTCAGAAGTGCATAATATATGCACAAAGTTAATTTTAGACTTGGGAAGTCTTCTTCACGCGACGTTTTTGGCGGGAACGTACAGTGGGTTTAATTATGCACACGTGCGGCACAAAAAGGTGTTCACCGAGCCAAACTACGGAAATTTCCAACAAAAATGTGTTTGTAACGGTTTGTAACGCGGAAGAAATATTTTTTTGGTGTTCCTCAAAGCCATGATATTATCAAGAAAGCCTCCATATAAAAAATACTCAAGTATAATAAATAGCCTGACACATAATTTATGGACGATAATGGCGTTCCACTAAACTAGGGTTTCCACGGAATGTAACGGTTTAATAACATGACAGAATATAACGTGACATGTTGCTACAGGTTTGTTGGAAGTACAAACATGTACATTGATTCAAGGAAACTGTTGCCTTACCTCGCAAGAACGAGTCCTCTCAGCACCACGCCGTCCCTCCCGCCATGACAGTTGCCTTTCTTGCTCAAACTTCGCCCTGCCAGGAAATGCGCTTCTCCCTCAAACATCAAAAGAACGGCAATAATCCATCCTGGAAACGTTCCTACGATATACTGTGCACTTTGGACGGATAATTTGCTGACAACAAGTCCAAAATTTACTCCCAAAGGTTGGAGAGAATTCGTACACACCAAGCCACACGACAACGTGGGTCACACAGCTTGGCTGCAGCTGGTCGAACGGACCGTACCATATGTGATAATTACATAGGGGTGTGAACGAGATTTATCATTATTGCGCTTGATAATTAACCATCACCATTCCGCCTCCAATCAAAAGTAATTATTGTCGCCCCACAATTTTTACTTGCTTTCTGTGTACCAAACACAACGATCAGGATACCTTCTGCCACAGTAAGTGTTTATATCCCCAAACTTGTGGATGCCCCCCCCCATTTTGGTATAATTAGTTTTACTTGTGGACCTCTCCTTGGTGCTGAACTCACCATCAGTTCCATGTATACGTATTGCAGTATTTCTCGTGATTCTACCATGATAGTCCGATCCCTTTGGTGGAAGTATTAAAGATGTGTAGGTTTTCAAGTGAATCCCGAACTTGAGGCATAGTTTCTATCTACGCCCTGAGAGCAGTGGGAAGCTTGTGAAGCGCCCTTCAGGAAAGAACAACCTTACCGTGGCCGGACTCCCTTGGTCCATTTTACTCTCTTTTAAGCCGAATTCTACGATCCGTATTCCCATAAAAAGGCCTGGTGGAGGTTATGTTTGTTCACAGCCACTCCCATGTCAGAGGTGACGCTTTGGCATTAAATTTCAACAGCATAAGCAGCTTAAATTGCCGAGTATCTGACGTGGGGAAATTTACTTAAAACATGACCGGAAAGTATGCGTCTATCACCGTCATCTACGGTAAAATGTATTTCGTCCTCTACTCCATCCAGACTACAAAATAACGTAGAACCGCCCGGCAAACCAGGCCAAACCGGTACGCACGACGTCCCACAAGTAACAATGATCTTCTGGGTCAAAGTTTAGTTTCGGTGTAACGTTACACGCGGAAGTAAAACAACGCCAGGTGAAGCTACGTCATTTCTTTTCGCGAACGTGAAACTGGTCCATATGTTTACCAAGATTCTTCCTTTCCAGTATTGGACTCGTGATAGTGTTAGGAAGTCCTTTTCACAGCACGAAGGTCGTTTGAACCGTTAAGGTATGAGCTTTTGATCGAGTGTCAAGAATTTTAAAACTTGGGATCCCCTTTTAATCCCCTGGGAGTGATAGTCGGACCAGTCCCAAGGGTTGCGAAAATTAGTACAGCTCGGCTTGCTTAACTTGGCCTGAATGACAATCAGGTTTGTACAGTGTTGTTGTGGAATTTTGACAATGCCATGTATTTCTCTTTTTTTTCTTCTGTGTATAATGAATGTGACGTTATATCGGTGGAGAATGCCGTTAGTAATGTCTGCGCACTGATAGTTTTACAAGGAGTACTAGTATACAACAGTATAGCTTGGGTGACAGACTGTTGACGGCCAGCTCTTGACTCCTCAAGGGACAACATGACCCCTCAGTTACTGGCCTGTCTACTGGTACTGACAACAGCCTGGATTCCAGGCTAGCGAAATCGTACTATCCACAAAATGTTTAGTGATTATTTGGTTCGTCCTTGTAACTGTTTTCAAGGTGGTCGGTCGCTAGGGTATCAGGTTACCGGCGCCGTTCTGGGGGAACTAAAGCTCAGGGCTAAAGCTAACAATACGTCACAAAATAAGATAGCTAGGATAACAACCTCTTGCTTGTGTTTTGCCAAAATAAAATAGACTTAACCACCTTGTATACAATGTATTTCAAATCGTACCGTAACTGATTTTGTCTTAATGTTTTCTTAATACGCACATTTACGCACATTGTTTTGGAAATTATGTACAGTGGATTCTTTAATTCTACATCAGGTCCTCATCTATTGTAAGCTACAGCACCTGCCTACCTGAAGACTGGAACACTCATGGAGGACACTGTGACAAGGATGTAAGTAGAGATGTTGGCTTATCAATTGATATCAAATTCAAAGAGAGGACTAAAAGTGTGCTCTCCCACAGAGGTTGAAGGAAAAGCTTGAAAGTTTGGGGGGCTAATATGACCCTTCTTAGGTAGTGTTTGAGAGTCAAACCTGTACAAGTCTACAAGTACTAGCTCGGTATGATACACCTGGCCAATAATGTGATCAATCTTTTTTGGTCTCTTACAAATTTTTTTTTCTATTGACACAAGTATTAAGAATCCTGTCCATCTGTAGGAATAGACAATATCATCTGTTCCCGAGTAGTATTTCTTGGTAGATTTAACTGCATTTATTATAAGCAGCGTTTGTGTATCTTCATAATACACCATGTACCTTTAACTTTCATCCTGACATTTTGATTCTGTATGAATTCATGAATGCCGGTTGTGTAGGAATGACGGCAAATACAAGGGGGTGCTTCCAGAGGAAACATCTCTGCCACGATCACTGGTTGAGAAGCTGCAGGATGGAGGATATTTCATCCCTCGTCACACTGACACCTCTGTCACTGATGCACAGAAGGTGGTGACAGAGCTGTGGAAAAGGGGAGAGGAGGAAGAGGAGGAGGAGGAGGAGGAAGAGGAGGAGGATGAAGAAAAGGAGGAGGGAGGATGGGACAGCGATGGTTGGCTGGACTTGGACACTCTCCTGCAAGAGCACTGGCGTAAACAAGACAAGGCCAACATGGAGGTGTACGGTGAAGGCTCCACGAAGTCTGCATCTTCATCAACAAGTGGGCATCTTAAGAAAGATGGAACACCTGACATGCAATACATGGAGAACAAGACATCCAAGGAATCTTCTGATTCAGCCACCACAACAGTCCATCTCAAGAAAGATGGTACACCTGACATGCGCTTCAAAGAGAACAAGGAATCTTCTGGTTCAGCTACCACAACAGTCCATCTCAAGAAAGATGGTACACCTGACATGCGCTAACAGGAAAAAAGGTGTCTTCTGATTCAGCTACCACAACAGTCCATCTCAAGAAAGATGGTACACCTGACATGTGCTACAAGGAAAAAAAGGTGTCTTCTGATTCAGCTACCACAACATTCCATCTCAAGAAAGATGGTACACCTGACATGCGCTACAAGGAAAAAAAGGTGTCTTCTGATTCAGCTACCACAACAGTCCATCTCAAGAAAGATGGTACACCTGACATGCGCTACAAGGAAAACAAGGTGTCTTCTGATTCAGCTACCACAACAGTCCATCTCAAGAAAGATGGTACACCTGACATGCGCTACAAGGAAAACAAGGTGTCTTCTGATTCAGCTACAACAGTCCATCTCAAGAAAGATGGCACACCAGACATGCGCTACAAGGAGAACAAGGAATCTTCTGGTATCCCTACCACAGCAGACCATCTCAAGAAAGATGAAACACCTGACACATGCTTCAAGAACAAGGCAACTTTGTCCACTTACTTGTCTGAAGATGATCATGATGTTGGGTACACGGCTGGTCCTGTAAAACACAACGGCACACCCGACAAGTGGTACAAAGCAAACAAGGAGGATTACAGTTCATCTGGTTACTTGTCTGATATGGATGAGAGTGACACATACTGCCCCAGCTACTCATCTGGCCCTCTGAAGAAGGATGGCACACCCGACATGCGGTACAAAGCAAACAAGGAGGCTTATGGTTCCTCTGGTTACTTGTCTGATATGGATGAGAGTGACACATACCGCCCCAGCTACTCGTCTGGCCCTCTGAAGAAGGATGGTACATCCGACATGCGGTACAGCACAAACCGCATCCCTGGTCTGAATAAGGATGGCACACCCGACATGCAGTACAAAGCAAACAAGGAGGCTTATGGTTCATCTGGTTACTTGTCTTATATGGATGAGAGTGACACATACTGCCCCAGCTACTCGTCTGGCCCTCTGAAGAAGGATGGCACACCCGACATGCGGTACAGCGCAAACCGCATTCCTGGTCTGAATAAGGATGGCACACCAGACATGCGGTACAGCACAAACTGCATTCCTGGTCTGAATAAGGACGGCACACCGGACATGCGGTACGACGAAAACAAGGTGTCTTCTGATTCAGCTACAACAGTCCATCTCAAGAAAGATGGTACACCTGACATGCGCTACAAGGAAAACAAGGTGTCTTCTGATTCAGCTACCACAACAGTCCATCTCAAGAAAGATGGAGATGATGTTGGGTACCACAGTGGAAGCTACACGGCTGGTCCTGTAAAACACGATGGCACACCTGACATGCGGTACAAAGCAAATGAGGAGGCTTACAGTTCATCTGGTTACTTGTCTAGTGGAAGTGTCTCATACAGCCCCAGCTACACGTCAGGCGCTCCAGAGAAGGATGGGACACCCGACATACAGTACGAAACAAACAAGGAGGCTGACGCTTTTTCTGGTTACTTGTCTGATGAGAGTGGCTTATACCGCCCCAGTAGCTACTCCTCAGGCCCTCTGAAGAAGGATGGCACACCCGACATGCGGTACTCAGCAAACCGCATCCCTGGTCTGAATAAGGATGGCACACCCGACATGCGGTACTCAGCAAACCGCATCCCTGGTCTGAATAAGGATGGTACACCCGACATGCGGTACAGCGCAAACCGCATTCCTGGTCTGAATAAGGACGGCACACCCGACATGCGGTACAGCGCAAACCGCATCCCTGGTCTGAATAAGGATGGCACACCTGACATGCGGTACAGCGCAAACAAGATAGCTTACGGTTCATCTGGTTGTGGTTCGTCTGGCTACTCATCTGGTGGAGGTGGCTCCTACAGCTACAGCAGCTACTCGCCTAGCAGTTGCTACTCATCAATCAGTAGCTACTCCTCAGGCCCTCTGAAGAAGGATGGCACACCAGACATGCGGTACAAAGCAAACCGCATCCCTGGTCTGAATAAGGATGGCACACCTGATAGGCGATACAAAGCAAACCGCTGGTAAAAGCTCAGACTATACTACATCTTTATAATATATAATTATTATTATAATGTTACATATGCGTATGGTGATCACAGGTCAGATTTCTACCTTTAAACTCATATCCAGAAGAGAATGCACTCTGATGTTGTTGTTTTTTTCAATGATGTGCTGTAGTGAATTACTATATATTACTGGTGTAGTAATAGTACATGTATATAGAACTATGAATGGACTTATTAACCTCCATCCTACAAAAGTACGCACTGATCTAGACCAACTTGTTAGATGGACTGATAAGAACTATATGTTACTTATCCCAATTAAATGTAAGGTAATGGGTATAAGGTAAAAGGGTTTCCAATAAAACCAGAAGTTCAAATTATGATGTCTGAGATGTGTTTAAATCTCTCACACCTTAAACGCACCACGCAAACTTTACACAGGTAGCAAAACAGCTCAAACTAATTTCTACTAGACATACGATATGCAGATGCTAATAATCTAATTACGATACATGTATATGCGATCATGTTACCGACAAAATTTTCACTCCTGTATATAAACAATGAGAAATGATAATGTCAAAATGACTGCAAAGTTCAGTCATATTAATACATTTATAACTTTCCAATTTAAGGCATATATATGCTCATCTTCATTGCAGGCTTAAAGTCGCTTTTTTTCTTTCTTTCTTTTAATCTTAATTTTTACAAAAGTTGATGTCATATTCTACTCTATTCATATAATAATTGATTTGATTTGATTTATTAGGATTGTAAACAAGTACAATACTCGTGGGCCACAGCCAGCGGGGGCTGGTGTTGTGGCCCACACACAAAGCAATCACAAGCACACAAACAAGACACACTTAAACCTAGTATAAGTATATAAAAATAAGTATAAGGGTACTAAAGACAGCATAGATTAGAATACTAGTATATCAGTCCATTTAGTACTAGATACAGTTCATGCGGTTTCTAGCCGCCAGAATGTTCATAACGTTTGTGCAGAATACTATGGGTCACTAAGTACATTGTAGATTACTTACCGGTGCAATATAACATTGGGCGCCAAGGGGAGCCGCTTCATGGCCTAAAAGTGAAACTGGTCCATTTGTTTACCAAGTCGTTACCGGAATTCTACAGTTCCTACCTGCCCGAACACTCTACTCTAACTATATAGAGCTGTGAATACGTTACAAATTATTGAGGCCTACTAAATTTACTATCCGCGGAGAACCGCCCTGACCATGCTGAACCGTCCCAGAAGTGACGATCCGTCGATCCTGCCTGTGGGTCAAAGGTTAACTTTTTGGCGGGAACGCCCGGAAGTGAAACCGCGAAAAGTGGCGCCAACAAGTGAAACCACGCCATTTTCGGGGTCCGAAAGTGAAACCTGGTCTATTTGTTTACCAAGCCTCTTAGCTCTTCCCTGCCGATAGCGGACTCGTGGTAGTATTAGGAGGTCCTTTCTACAACAAGGAAGTGGTTTGTACCGTTCAGTAGCTTTGGGTCGAGTATAAAAAGAGGAATATTAAAGTGCAGAAAATGGCTACCTCTGGGAGCAAGGGGAGTGACGAGACCAAGAAGAGTTGGGAGACTTGGTACAACTCGGCTTGTCTTGCCTATGGGCTGAACGACAACACGATCCAGGTTAGTACAGTGTGATTGAGAATCTTTCACGTGTGTTCTTCCTCATACTTCTTGATACTGTTGTCCTGTGCATGATGCACCGTTATTTCGGTACATAACGGGCCCGTTACGATCCGCCAGCTACAGTTTATATGCCTTATATTTCTGCGCGATGTGTGTGTCATATTTTTACCTCCTTGGACAGATACTTGAAGAAGAAGACTGTCACACAGCGGAGGCGTTTGTGGCGTTGACAGAGGACGATCTGAAGGAGCTGCCGCTGACTGTGGGACAGAGACGTCTGGTCATCACCATGCTGACCGACCTGAAGGCTTGGGGCTACAACGTGCAGCTGGAGACAGAGTTCCGCCGTGCGTTCCGCAGGGGGAAATACATGGTAGGAAAACTTTAGAGTCCCGGGGCGGGGGATTTCTTCGCTTGAAATATCAGCGAAACTGTAACTGTTACGTTTTCGAACTATTCACCGTTTGGTTAGTCTGTGGATCTTGTACTGTTCCTTTGAGCAACTAATAAGATTAAAAACAGATGGACAACTTACCATTCGCTGGGGATTCATTCACTAGCCATGAACAAAGGGTGCGACATTGTTGTCTTCGTCAGAAGGACTATGAAATTGTCTCGCCGGAGTGTGGGGAACTGCGGATTTTGCGATATAACTCTGGAAGGCATGATTCGACGTCCATGATGTTTGGCAGGCAGATTACCGCTGTTGAGGCCGAAGCCAAGTACAAGTTTCGGCTTCGTGGGGGGTCCGTGCGTCACGTTAGTGCACCTTTTGTGTTTGTGGCTTGTTAGCAAGATAACTCAAGTATTTGTAAAATGTTGATCATAATTCTTGGTGTGGTGCTTACTATTGTCGGGACCAAGGTTAAGTTCGTTACTGAGCTTCGTGGGGGGTTTCGTTGTGACTACAGGGGGCATTTTGTTAATTTTTCTTGTGAGCAGGATAACTTTTGTATGTGTGGATGGAAGTTAATGAAATTTGATAGGCATGTTACTGTGGTGATCTCCAAGATTGAGTTCAAAGATGAGAGTCGTGGAGGTCGTTATGTCCCGGTAATAGGACCTTTTGTGTTTAGAAATCCCCCACCTACATCTGCTTGGAGACAGCCGACAGCTGGATTTAGCCGGGGAACCCCATAATGGGATGGGATCAAATGACGTTACATTGAGGGATTGTACTATAACTTCAGCAGGGGGAGGATAGGTTGGACATATGTCAGGTTATTTTCTACGGCCACACCAAGTAATTGCTATGGATGACGTCCACTGGAGACCTTAAATCTAATTACCTTAAACTTAAGGCAAGCGCGCAATAAAATCACGAAGGGCCGAAAAACGAGATGCCTAGATTTGGAATATACTAACTGTAGAAGTACAAATGTTAGGACACAAAGAACACAAGAAACAAGTCTTCTATTTATCATAAAGACAAATTAACAAAACAGCAGTAGTCGCCCTGTTCTGATTCTTTCCTTTATAACATCTTCTCTTATCATATTTTGCGGCGCTGTCGTGACACTTTCAACACAGTAAGAATTTCTTGAAGGTTTTTTTTTTTCCAGTAACAGTCCAAACTCAAATAACGTAGGGGGGGGGGGGGCGTAACACGGGTGACGACGCATCTGTATAATCTGCGGCAAACCGTTTCAGGGTGTTCTGTACCATAAAAATAGTACAGAGATTCTTTTGTTCTTTAGACCAAATTGATTATTAAAAAGAGTGAAGAATACGCATGTTAATTTCTCTAGAACGATGTACCTCTGACGAAGACATGAGATCTCCGACCTCTAGTTTTTATTTTATTCTGACACATCAATAACATCATGCATCAAGGAGCTTCTACAGTGGAAGCTCCTTGATAACATTTAGTAGAAAAGGGGGAGAACGACCCAATAGTCTAGTGGAGGAGCGAAACGGATGGAAAAGACAGCTTGGGGATGTCAATTAGCAGAATAACAGTAGGGATGGCATTGATGAAGTACTAGACTTGTATAGGGTTACGGTGTACTGTATACTGTAGTATGGTCCACAGTAATGCCCTGTGGACCGTCTTCTCTGGGCTGGGAATCCACTACTCTCCAAGCAGAGGTTTTGGTTTTTAGAATTTTATTGGGCCTTCTTTCTTGTACTGGAATTTTTTTACACCAACCCAATGAGCTAAAAAAAAAAGGCCAGTGAAAAAAAAAGAAAACGTGCCAAAAGTAAGCCAAAACTCAAACCTCTGCTTGGAGCTGTAAATGCTAGATGGTGGACTTAAATTCTGTGAGCGTTCAGCTAACACAGACAGCCTGCAACAAGGATCAGGTGAGGACATAGGTAGCATGATGGGGTCACTAAACCATACATGGATTGTAAAGAAGCCAGGGAGCTTTCCAAGTAAGGTCAGTGAAGTAGAAATGAAATGAATACTGTAGAGCAAGGAACTTCGAATTCCTAAACTCAAGAGTGCTCACCTTTCAAGGAGGCCATGCCCCCTGAGGAGCAGAGTGCAACTTCAAATTTGTCTGAGATGGGATAGGGCTAATCAGGCTTAGAGTTAGAGTAAAGCAACTGTAACCTTCCACAGCTTGCTGGCATCGTGATGAAAGTACACCTAGTTTTTAGTAGCACTAGAAACACATTGAATAAAATTTAATGTTTGGGTGTTGGACCTTTTCCAGGGTCTCAAATAACACAGGCCAGTTCCTGGCCCCAGGGTCAATAAAGTGAGGTCAATGAACCATATGGAAATTGTAAAGAACCCAGGGAGCTTTCCAAGTAAGGTTAGTGGAGTGGAAATAAAGTTGATACAGCAAAAAAAGTGACTCAGTCAGAGTGCTCACCTCTCAAGGAGGCCAATTAAATTGCCCTGACCCTGAGGAGTAGAGTGCATCTCAGTTGAGATGGGCTAAGGTGAATCAAGCTTAGAGTTAGAGGAAAGTAACTGTAACCTTCTATAGCTTGCTGGCATCATGATGAAAGTCCACCTAGTTTTTAGTAGCACTAGAAACACATTGAATAAAATTTAATGTTTGGGTGTTGGACCTTTTCCAGGGTCTCAAATAACACAGGCCAGTTCCTGGCCCCAGGGTCAATAAAGTGAGGTCAATGAACCATATGGAAATTGTAAAGAACCCAGGGAGCTTTCCAAGTGGAGTGGAAATAAAGTTGATACAGCAAAAAAAGTGACTCAGAGTGCTCACCTCTCAAGGAGGCCAATTAAATTGCCCTGACCCTGAGGAGTAGAGTGCATCTCAGTTGAGATGGGCTAAGGTGAATCAGGCTTAGAATTAGAGGAAAGTAACTGTAACTTTCCATAGCTTGGTGGCATCATGATGAAAGTCCACCTAGTTTTAGTAGTACTACAAACGCATTGAAATTTAATGTACTTCTACCAGTAGATTTTGTGTTCGAAATACACAGGTGGTTTGGTAAGGGTTTTTGAGGGTTTTTTCTGCGCAAAAACCTGATCTGAATGCTAAGGGTTCTTTAAGATTGTTACTACAGTCACGAACCAACTCCCTTGTGCCTGTTCATGTACCTCACATTCACAATACCAGATTTTCTGCACAGAACAACTTCAGATTACCCAAACCTAAGACGAACAGCAGGAAACGTTCATTCCTGTATCGTGTAATGTTGCTGTGGAATGATCTACCAAATCATATAGTTAAGACACTGAGTAACTTACTCAGGTTCAAAAAAGCTATCGCAAACAGTGTCACATGAGCCTCAACCTCTAGTTTTAAATTGTTGATGACGATCTGTGTGTTTATTGTTGATGTTTTATTGTATTTATGTCTTTTTAAATGTATTCACTGTATTTTCCATGTATGTGATTATGTAATTTTAATGTTTGAGCCTTGGAAGAGTACATTTTGTAGCCCTGCAGGGTTAAAACTTAAAAGGCTTTGAAACAAATGAAATGAAGGGTTTATTCAACCTGTTCACGGGGTCAGCATACTGGCCATATGTGACCTCCAAGCTTTTTAAAGCCTTGTTTTGAGTTCATTACCACTGTTTTTTCACAGGTTTTTCTTCATTTTGTGATGTAATCAGCATTAGCAACCTGATTGGCGGACGAGTCCAAGCTCCTGATATCAATTTTTGGAGAGCAGGATTCGCTGAAAAAGCTGTTGAGAGGGGGGTGGGGGCTGTACCAAAACAAATGTTTACCTGGAAATTTCAGTCAAGTTGGGGGAGCATGGTTTCTCAAAGATAACGGAGCAGTGCCGCTGTATGAACCTGTCAGAAGACGGCATACAAGAAGGTCAAGGACAACAATCAGAAAAGAAGGAGGAACGTTTATTCAAACTGCAATCATGGCCGATTAATCACATATTCACCAGACAGGTTTTAAAAAAAACAAGGTTATGCAATGTCTTGTATGAATGCTAGAGGTTTTAGACGGGTTTTTCCCTGCTAATTTATTTGAACGGGGTATGTGAGGACTTAAACCTATCAACCATGCAGGCTCAGGGGGTTTTTTCACAGGCACTAGTCCTGCAAAGAACACTGGCAACAGGCAGCTTTACATTCTACCCAGGAATAGCATTCTGCCATTTAACAGTAAGCCCTTAGTGTCTAAACCTGAACACCTAAAAAACACAGTACTTCTTATCTTGCCTAGCCATACTCTATACTGTGCAAAGTTGTAAGCCACCCCATGTAGACAGCCATTGAAGAAACATACATAGGAATTGATTTTTTGTCTTGTTCAGGCTGGAATGATTCCTTACCTTTGAGTATAAGTCACGAGTGTAAGTCAGAATCATCACCTACAGGGTGATATATCCTTTCCTTGGCTTGATGCAAGACGGGGTATGTCAGGTCACTGTCAGGGTGATCATGTAAATCACCATGCATGTGGTTTGCAGTTATGAAGTGAATTACGGGTTTGTAGATATGAAGTGAATCACCAACTTCGTACAGTAGGATTTGAACCATCGCACACCGGGGCATGCTCCTACTCTTTTTTGAAAGGTGTAGTGGGTTCTTTATCGTGCACGGGATATCCATTTAACTATCCTATCCGAGGGACGTCCCTAGCCAAAGCTAGGTACTCATTTCCACCTGAGTCAGGATAAATATCATTATAATATAAGCATAGCTGTAATTTTTTTATACAACGTCACAGGTAATCTCACATGACTGATGTACAAAAATGTAGTTTACACATCTGAAGTGTCATGACCAGATGATCATGAAGTATTTTTATAACTTATCTATTTAATGTCTAGGAATATTGTCAAATTCATGAGACACTTATGGTTAAACCCGATGCATCTGGTTCCAAACATTAGTGAAGTTTGGGTTTTAAAATTATCATCAGGTGGCATCTAATTTGTTAATTACTCATTGTTATTATTATGATTTGCAGTTCTGCATCCACTTGTTATTTATTTATTTATTGTTATTATGATTGCTGTTCTGCATCCACTTTGTTATTTACTTATTGTTATTATGATTTGCAGTTCTGCATCCACTTTGTTATTTACTTATTGTTATTATGATTTGCAGTTCTGCATCCACTTGTTATTTACTTATCATTATTATGATTTGCAGTTCTGCACCCACTTGTTGATTTACTACTGTTTATGGTTTGCAGTTTTGCAACCTCTTTTTGTAACAGTTTTTGTTACATTAATCATCCATGACCTCTGACCTCTCCCCGTTCACTTAAGTTCAGATTTCAGTTAATGTTGTGTGCGTTATGTTATTTTTTGATTAAGACTCACACCTTTTGTTATGTTGGTTTTACTTTCATGTACATTTGTTTTGTTCTGTTCTGTACATTTGTTTCATTGTAATTTTGTGACTCCAGGAAGAATAGATTTCATGTAAATCTAATGGAGATCTAATAAACAAACAAACAAACAAACATTGAGCTGAAAAGACAGCTTAGGATCATGAAAGAAATTTGTGCTTGTCACCCTCTTTAAAAACATCTTTGAAACATCTTCAACGCAAGTTTTGAGCCTGCCTGTCTTCCACTGTAGATAAAAGCTTACTACTCTGATGAAGAAGAGGAGAACCAGGAGGAAGTTCTTGAAGCGGTGACAATCTCTACTACAGACAACCTACAAGACGAGGTAATGCTTACATATGTCAAGATAGAGACTCTGATCTGAGTAAAGAGAATCTTTTTACACAACCAAGGGGCAATTCTGACTGCTTCACATTGCATTTCAACACAGGTTTCGCTGATATAGATGCATTTGACACCTGTGCTGCAGTGCGATGTGAGCCGGTCAGAATTGCCCTGAGGAAGGTGACAGACGGTCACAGAAATGCCGGCTCAGACTCGGCTGAATAAAAGACTTGGTTGTGTAAAAAGAGTCTCTTTACTCAATGACTTACCAAACTGATGAAACTATTCACAAGACTCTCATCTGTTAGAACGTGATTCTACTGGTTGATGGTTGTATAGTATAGTATTGTTGTAATGATTGATGTAATAATTGATGTTTAAAATTGCTAATTGTTAAGATAAGTTTTCCTGAAGCATAATAGCAATTGAAGTAAATGTAAATAATAGTTGTATTTTTATGTTCTATAGGACTCCAGGAAGAATAGTAATGTACATATTACTAATGGAGATTCCTTAATAAACAAACAAACAAACAAACATACTGGTCTAAGTTGGAGCCTCTGCTGGTACAATCCACGATTCATGTTCAGTATCATACACGTACAACATTAAAAGATATTTAGGTTTTATGGCAAGCACAGACTATACAGCTACCAGTAATGTGATTGAATGTTTAACATTTACGACAAGATTCTACCAGATCTCAGAGTCTATACAATGACATGTGACATATCATGATCATTTCAACTGCCCAAAACTGAGTCTTTACTCTGACGTTTGTTGCAACCTTTGTCTGATCCATCTGCACATATCATGTGATTAGATGGCTCAGACTGTACCTGAGCTGCTATTTTTTGTAGATGTACATAGCTTAGACATACATGTATGTGGATACAACAAGGGAAAGAGTCCGAGTATTAAGAAAAAGGTGTGAAGAATATGTGCTGCATGCTCATCACTTTCAGAACTCGAAATTAACTTTTCTTCCTGTTGTCCCAGCACTGTCCCGAAAATAAATTTCAGTTGTCACAAAGTGAGGGTGAACTGTCCCAACCTGTTTTTCAGGAAGTTTTGAATGACTTCAACTTGAAGTCAACTTTATTTTGCTTACGTTCTGACTCCCAGCTCTTACACTGTAATTGCAGAGTAGACAGGAAATTTAGGGGGGCCTTTCCGGAGCCAAAACCTGGGACACGTGCCTGATGAACAAAAGAAGGGCTGACATTCTGATGTTGATTATTTTTCTATTGTCCCCAAAATCTCCCAAAGTCTCTTTTAAGTTGTCCCGGCCTACATGTATATTTTAGTGGACACCGTTAATTTCGAGCCCTGCACTCTGTTTTGTGTGTCTTGAAGAAGAACAAACTGTATAAGACAAGAATTGCAACGAAGACAGTTGGAAGATCAATATAAAATTCTTTTGTTCTACCTCAGGTCCTGGTCTATTGTAAGGCATACATCACCTTCCTGAAGACTGGAACACTTGAAGATGGAGATCAGCTCTTCACTTTTGTGGAAGATGCTGTGACAAGGATGTAAGTAGGGCTGTTGTGGTATTGATTGAGACCAATTCACATTTCATTGGTTCCCTGAGTAGTCTTGTGCAGGTTTGAGTGTTTGCAGTGTTTGTTGTAAGCAGCGTTTGTATATCCTTATAATACATCATGTAACATTACCTCTAACCTTCAACCTGACGTTTTGATATTGAATGTATGAAACTATGATTATCTTTTGTGCAGGAATGATGGTGACTACAAGGGGGCTCTTTTCTTGCTTCCCCAAGAAACGTCTCTGCCACGTTCACTGGCTGAGAAGCTACAGGACGAAGGGTGTTCCATCCTTCATCACACTGACAGCTTCATCTCTGATGTCCGCAAGGTGGTGAAGGAGCTGTGGAAAAGGGAGGAAGAGGAGGAGGAGGAAGAAGAAAAGGAGGAAGAGGAAGAAGGAGAGGAAGAAGAGGAGGAGGAGGAGGAGGAAGGATGGGACAGCATCAAGGTATTGTTTTCTGAATCTGTATAACTGCCAGTATAATCGCCTTCCAGTGTAACACACCAGGTTTAAAGTCAAGTGGCATGGCAGCAGCTGGCTACGTTACACTGAATGACCTGTCACACCTAATCTTTGTACATCTACATGTAACTGCAAACAGTGTTTAAGGCTATCTAGTGAGGATTTCCTTGCTGTAGTTAGTGGCAGTATGAAAAAAAAAACATTTGAACACCTCAATCCTAGGTTGATATATATGGTACTTTGAAAGTACTAGGGACTAAATAAAAATGAAGATTGCCCTCCCAGAGGCACAGCAGGTACAAATTGTAAAGGATGTAATACCCATGTCTTCTCATGTCCCAATCAAGTCTACAAGCTGTACCAGAGGACTGTAAGGTTTACGTATCATTTCGACCTATTAAGAACAAACATAATGTCTGTAGAGTCATCTTACTTATAGCTTCTTGTCCTTTCAGCCGGACATGACCACACCAAAGAGAACCCCATCCACCCTGCTACAGACACCGTATCCATATCCACCAAGTCAGCTGTCCAGCGATGGTTGGCCAGGCTTTGAGACCCTCCTGGACGAGTATTGGCGTGGACCTAAGAAGATCGATCCTGAAACACCGGTGTCATCCAAGACTGGGAAACCTGGCTTCAGGTAGAGGAGATGAATCCTTTTTTCTTCAGAAAACCAAAACTATCACAGCTAGCAGCCTTGTAATTTAGACGACACCTTGGACTCTTGTTTTCTTTGTACAATGAAGTATAAGTTTCATCAGCAGTCCATGTCAATATATGCTTTTTTAACGTTTTTCTATTCCCTATATTGTCTAATCCTATCCTTGTCCTTTTCAGCTCCAAGGTCAACAGGAAGCTGTTTCTCAGCACACCGGGACCCCTGAGACAGGATGGGTTGCCAGACATGAGGTTCAAGGGTAACAGGGAGACGTACCCCAGAAATGTTGATGGCACCCCTGACATGAGGTACAAGGCAAACAAGGAGGTGTACGGTGAAGGCTCCTCCAAGTCTGCATCGAGCGGACATCTCAAGAAAGATGGAACTCCTGACAGAAGGTACAAGGGGAACAAGGCTTCTTCTGGTTCTGCTTCCACAAAAGTCCATCTCAAGAAAGATGGTACACCAGACATGCGCTACAAGGAGAACAAGATGTCGTCTAAGACAGGAACCACAGCTCACATCTCCCCAGCAGTTCACGTCAAGAAGGATGGCACCCCAGACAGGCGCTACAAGGAGAACAAGGTGTCTTCTGGTTCAGCTACCACAGCAGTCCATCTCAAGAAAGATGGGACACCTGACATGCGCTACAAGGAGAACAAGACGACTTCGTCTGGAGCTGGTGTTGGGTATCACAGCAGCAGCTACACAAGCTACTCGGCTGGTCCTGTGAAGAAGGATGGTACACCTGACATGCGGTATGCCGCAAACAAGGCGGCTTATGGTTCTTCTGGCTCCTCATATGGAGGAACCTCATACAGTTCATCTGGCTACTCATCTGGAAGCAGTGGAGGGTATGGTGGGTCATACAGTAGCAGCTACTCCAGTGGAAGCTACGCAGCTGGTCCTGTGAAGAAGGATGGCACACCTGACATGCGCTATGCTGTAAACAAGGTGGCTTATGGTTCTTCTGGTACCTCTTACAGTTCGTCTGGCTACTCGTCAGGTGGAGGTGGCTCATACAGCCACAGCAGCTACTCATCTGGTGGAGGCTACGCAGCTGGCCCTCTGAAGAGGGATGGCACACCTGACATGCGCTACAAAGCAAACCGCTATTAAAACATACTGTTCAGTACACATGGTCCTTGTATGTGATGCTCACTGGGACAGATTTCTACCTTTATCTAGCTTTTCTACCTTTATTTCTACCTTTACCTGCCTAAATGCTTAGGCCAACAACAGACCCCTTGCTCCCTCTCTGAGAGTAGTGTCCAGGCTTTACATACATATATATCTTTATATACCTTTATATATCTATAAAACATATATGTTTGTATTCAGAAGAAAATACACTGATGATCTTTTCAGATCTGTGCACTAGTTAACGGTATCCATACTAATTATAATCAATTACTAAAATATAACTGGAGTCAATTACACTAACATATAACTGATGTAGTATTTAGAGCTATAAAGTGGCTCATCAATAGCTATATAGTTCACAGTAGTCTTAAGACGATTGTTTAGATACAAATCATTATAATGAAGAAGAGATTTATCACACAGTCTTTGTAGTCTTTAGAATTAAAGCCATGTATTTGATTTCCATTAATATTTGTATTAAAGATTTATCTCTGCACACATGAAAGCTTATTTTTATTACTCAAGCCATGGTAATAAACATACTGAAGTCATATGATGAAGAGTTGCTGATTTCTACTTCTGTTCTAATGTGGTGAACCGTTAGGAGTTCAAAGTCCGGATGTAGAGTTTGCCAGCACTACATGCTAAGGAGACCTAAATAACAATCCACGGACGATCAGGGGTATTGCAGATGTAAATCACCTCCATCTAACGTCCTATTTGGGGGCGTCCCTAATCAAAGATATAGCTTGGTGCTAGTACTCATGTACCCCTGACTGAAGTGTGGAAAGTCGGGCAAATTCTATTTCCTTCGGGCACAATATCGGTTCATGTAGGAGGATTTGAAGCCACGACCTACAGGTTCAGGGCCAAAAACCCAACCATTACGGCACACGATTCCTCAGCCAAAGCTACTAATCCACTGATGTAGCGTCCTTGGCATTAATGCAACGCCGTAAAAGGTAAAAAGCTCTCATTCCATTTAATATCGAGCTGAAAGCTATCCAAGCCGCGAGCCTTTCAACGGCGGAGACACACACCTACCTCTCTGCTTTGATCATTCTCGCCTGACTTGATGCAGGCAGCGTACCGATATAGCCTGATTAAACCTAGCCTGGTATCCAGTCTTATCGTGGCAGGGGCATAGTAGTTTAGGACAGGCTGTGTCTTCAGTGCTCTAATAGCGTCTCCCCGCCCAGTACAACAGGCTGCCCCGGTAGGAGTGTTACGCTAATATAGAGGTGGCACGCCTGGGGATTTGGTTTGTTGTGGTAGGGCTAATCAATCTCCCATCGTGAAATACACACCGGGAAACCTAGATGAGGCGGGCGGGATAGAGCTTCTGCAGCCCCGAGGAAAACCCGCGTCAACCACGATTAGACTGGATACCAGGCTAGCTTAAACCGCGCCTTATAGCAGCCCGCACAACTTCAGCCGCCCACGTAAGAAAACTTCTGGGAACTTTGAGCATCTGAAGATTCACTTTCTTAAGAATTGTAGTCACGCAAGAAGGTATCTTCAGCTTTCTTTTATCTTTAATAGAAGAATATTGCATCGCGAGAAAGAGCAGTCACTTGAGGTGAGCGAGGCTGTTTGAGTTCAACGACTCCTTGGTAAGTCAAACGCATACTGTTCCAGGCCGTAGTTATAACAGTTAATGACCCTCTACAAGCATATACATTCCAACAGTCCCGTCCAATTTTATATAATAAAGACCCTCTGACAGGCAACCAACTAGTAAACGCAACCAGCGACCTACTTTCTTGTCGTCCTAGGGGGCACAGGCACCCAAGTCAACAACCACTTGATGGCATAGGGCAATGTGACGTGTGGAGTTTGGAACGCCACCAATGGATACGAGTCATACGAATATTTTGTGTATCAGAGCAATATTATACTTCAAATTAGAAGAAAATGATAAATTGTACAAAACATTTCAAAAACTGAAAG